ATGATTGCCATTAGCATACGGACCGGAGAGATCACAGCCTAACACAAAAGAGTCAGGAACCTTAATCCTACGGTGAGGTCTAGACTTCAATCTACCTCTCAAGCAGGTGGCGCAATCTCGTCGGAATGGCAAGTGGCCGTTGGCGACGTGACGCTCAAAGGATGCATCAATCTTCCCTTTTGGGGTGGATGTTTTCTCACGGTTTTTCGCAAGCTTAGCCACTTTCAGGCATACCGCCCGTCCTACTCCATCATACTCCCGGCATTGCTGCTGGTGGAACATCAGTGACTTAACCAAGCCATGACTAACACTATGCCACGGTGATGATCTGACCAAAGCCCCGACCTGCGGATCGTTGTCACTTTCGCACAGGAACAACGGTGGGATTGTAAAACCCGCAGCCTTTCGGCCACAATCGGCTTGACCACACAAATGCAGGATTCTAAGCAGTACCAGTGCATCCTTAGCCGCGTTGGCTTCAGGCGATTGGCAACCGTTACACATAGCGGGAAAAAGACTTGGAAGATCAGTGCACACCACTTGCCTGATAAGGCCTATCCGCGCAAGCTCAAACAGGAATGCGTGAATTCCTTCATCCCTCACCTCCCTGTGATCTAGGCGGATCGTTCCCCATTTTGAAGGCACGGTTCCTACGTAGGCTTTAGGATCTCCAATCACAACAGCTATCCCTTCACACTGGCTTAAGGTGCGGCGAGTGCGACGGTTGAAACGTGGCTGTATGCCAACGGCTTCCATCCTCGGCTCATCGAGCACCTGCGAAAGAAGAGAGCTACTTTGAAGACCCACTAGTTCGGTGAGCCACGTCCAACGATCGGGATGCGGGCCCTTTCCTGCCAACAGCGCCGTGGCTAGACTTGTGAGGGGTACGTCTTGGCTAAGGTGCCCATTACACGCATAAGCCTTCACAGCGACCCCACTCAGCTTTTCTATCTTAGATATCATATCCAAGGCAAGCTTTGACGAAACCTCCGGGCAACCTGCCACCAGAACAACTGGCACCTTAGAGCCTTCTGGATCTCGCAACACAAAGCCTCCTGAGGTCCAACGAACCTGATACCCTAGGCTCACAAGCTGATGTAAAGCAACAATCGGAGCAGCTTTCTGCTGACTCAACGACGCTGGCTCTGCTAGCAGGACGCCTGTGCTGGCGATCCGAAGATTGTTTGTTTCCCCTGAAGCTAAATGCACTACCACTGGGGCGGCAGCTTCCCATTCTTGCAGACTAATGGCTTGTCGAAGTGAGGTTGTGGCACCACCGTCCAACAAACCCAAAACGGCGTCTCTAGATTCTTCGGCTTTAACAGCACACAGCTTGGATATCCTCAAAGACTTAATGGCATCAATGGCTTCCTTCACCAAATCATTTGAGGGCCCTGTCGCTGCAGCTGGTGCGCCCTCAGACTGCGAGGCCTGAGCTTCCGAACCCTCAGGAACCTCAACTCCACCAACCTTGCGAACTCTCTTCCGGGGACCCCGCTTAGGTTCAGCCTTAGCTGAGGCCTCTACACCCGCCTTATGGTCAGCGCTGCCAGCGGCAGTGGGTGGGCCTCTCCCTAGCACTGGGCACGCATTCCTCCAGTGCTCAGTGGATGAACACTCAAAGCACCTACCACTACCATCCTCAACAACACTAAGATCGTGATTGTATTGGCATGACCGTCCGGCGTTACACCCCTTTGCGGAACCCCAAAACTGACAGACTCGGCGATTGCTTTCAGGCTGGGCATCAGAAGGCTTGCCTTTAAGTCCTTTACCTTTACCTGCATCCTTGCCTCCTGTATTGTTCGCGCCCTTTCCTTTCCTGTGTTCTGGCTTCTCCTCCTTTCCTTCCTCCTCAGTGGCCTTGGCTCTCCTTACCCGCTGTCTCTTCTCTTCCTGAGAGAGCGCCTGAGCGCTCACCGCGAGCAGCTCCATCTCGGCATGAACCTGCCTCCTGAACTTTTCAACCTTCTCATGTGTTGGCACGTGATCTAAAGAGAGCTCAAGCTTCAGCACACTAAGCCTGAAAGCCAACTCCCTATAAGTGCTCGAACTCACGATTCCAGACACGATGCTCTCAACAGCCCTGAGCAGGAGTGAAGGATCGGGGAGGGAAACCTTGAGCTGCTCCGCACGCGATCTCCATCTTGAGTACTTCCTCAATTTCTCCAATGCTTCCGCCGGGTTCTGTGCAGTCCCTGGCTGAGTCAAGAAGTTCAACAGTGTCGCGCGCTCAGCAGTTCCTCCTGGCTGCCCTGCAACCATCACCCTATACAAAACATTCACCGAATTGAGAACCCTAGAAGCTAGGATGTCCTGTCTCAAGTTCTGTGGAAGCGAGGCCAACAGCATCGATGTTACTCGTTGCTCAAGCCGGGCATACTGCGGCTGGGAAAGCTCAGATCCTAAGGTTACTTCAATTTGTGCTCGGTGTAGCGGGGTAGCATTAAGCCACTGTGCATAGAAAGCTTCAGCCCTATCCTTAACCTTGACCCACCAAAGACCCGCTCCAGTACTAATGTCCCCAACTATAGGACCCACTAATGTTATCCAATCGCCCACTGCAATCGGTGCCTCATCAGTTCTCAGCTCCGAGAGCTGTGGAAGATCATGCCAGCGCTGCCATTGAGGCGAGTACCGAAGCTCCTGACGGCGGATTTCAGACGTTGGAGTTGGGGTTAAAGGTGGAGGCAACGGAGGCACCGGAGTACCACCTGGCGTGCGATCTACCCTAAACCCTATCTCTTGTCTCACCCCAAAGTCAGGTCCTAAACCACTAGGAGGCGGGGGTGGTACCGGGCTTGAGGAGGTATTAGGCACAACCGACTGCTCATCATGATGACGCGGGAAGGCTGTCTGATGTGACACCAGATAATTCGAATCCCTATCATAGCCCTGAGTGCTATACAATCCTGGAACCGACTGCTCAACAGGATACTGCGGATAAGGCATCGAAGGTACCTGGGGCAGAAATGAACCACCCGAACCAATGCCAAAACCCTGAGTGCATTGCATTCCTGGAAACGACTGCTCAACAGGATGGGGCGTAGGGATCGGAGCTACGTGGTGGAGTGGAGGACCAACTAACCCACTATAACCCTGAGTGCATTGCATTGCTGGAGCCGCTTGCTCAACATGATGTGACATCGAAGCTGGTCGGTACTGCGGAGGGCCACCTAAGCCTACAAACTCAACTAAACCCTTAGGCAACCCACTAAGGTCTTCAGGAATCTGCGGCGGCGTAAAGAAGCCTGATCCTCCTTGTACCGGCTCCGGCACACTCTGCTGCACTTGGTGAAGCTGCTGTGCGGGGCAAGTCCAACCGTGCCCTTCAACAGGAAGCGCTGGCCCCCGAATCCAGGAAGGCCCTGGGAGACTTGCCGAAGATTGAGGTGCTTGGGGCTGAACAGGAGGAGGAGGTGGTTGATTTAGCACGCTAGGAAGTAAAGTCCAAACTCCCTGTGCATTGAGGGCAAGCTGCCGGTAACCACCATCAACATACACCCATTTTCCAAGACCACCCACACTATTATCATTGTGTTCATTACTCACACTTGTTAACCCTGGGGGATCGCAGAAACTTGTCTGTACAACGGACGGGTTTCCATCCACATTTTCAGCATCTACTCCTACAGCTCTACCAGCACCACCTACCGCCGACTTCATCGACACTGAGGTTCCCGTATTCTGACCAGCAGCGGACTTCATTGACACCGAAGCTCCTGAGTTTCTTTCCGCCACTAGCGCATCTTCAAGGTCCTTGACCCGTTGCAGGAGCGCTGCAACGGTAGCCTGGCTAGGGTCCCTGACGTCAGAAGCTCTGCCTGCAGTAGAAGCTCTTTGCGAGAACATCTCCCCATCCAAACTCCTAACCTTTGTAGACTCCTGCTCGCGAAACGGAGTGTCACCCCCATCCGAACCAATCATGAAGTACTGAGCTCCTTGATGGTCCGGCTGTGTTGGTCCCGTCGGGGATTCCGTCACCTGAAGGGCATAGCTCCTGACTTCCACTTTCGTAGTCGTCTCACCACGCTCCAGGATCGACGCCTTGCCACTGGATCCCGGAGAGCTCGCTCCGAGACCCCGGTGCAAGAGTCTTGACTCACTTCTATCATCAAGTTTCCCAGCATTTTGCCCAGAAGATGCCATGGCTGGCTCAGAGAAGTCATACGGTGGATGCACGTCCACATCATCATCTCTCTCAGTAGTGCTAGGTAAGTCGCGCGGTCGGGACTGGTTCAACTGAAATTCTGCTGTAGCCTTTTCAGACCAAAAAGGATTTGGTAGAGGCTTCGAAGAGGCTGGGGCCTCACCATCAATCCCAGTCTGACTGTTGGCTGCTCCCGCTGCATCTTGGTCCTCGTACGAAGGCTCAAGCTCATCTCCTGATTCAAGTGGGACAGGTGTGTCAGCTGCCGTAGCACCGCCACTAAGCCCACCAGGAGGCACAGAGCTCGACTTTCTCCTTCTAGAAGCAAGAGTGTCCATGGCAACAGGGCACACGAAGGCTTGGGCTCATAACCCTCGAGTACGAGGGCCAGCCAACTGTTTTAGCAGCAGAAGCGAAAGCGAATAAGATCTAACTTGGTACACTTCTCGATTTAAAAAACGTCTTCTGTACGTGCCTGACTGTCTTCCTTGCTGCAGGGGCCATGCACCTGCGGAGTCAAGCGTGTCATCCTTGCAGCAGGGGCAGGGACATACACATCTGCGACCTTAATAGGATTCTGTATATGAACCCCAAAAAGGAACTACTATGGGGCCTTTGGGTAAGTTCCAGGTTTTCTGGGTCTGAGGTCTGCGAGAGTTTCGGCGGTGTTGGGAACGATGACAGAATCTATACAGCACTGCTAGCCGCACTTGGAGGGGCCCAGGCTTAGTACAGTAGCCAGATGTTTTCACCCCTGAAGGGGCCCAGCCTTGCAATCCAGATGTATTGACGCCTGGAGGGGATGGGCCTTCCATGCTTTCTAAACTGACTGCACATGATACACTGCTAGGACCTTATAGATGGGAAGCATGGCGACAATGTCGATGCATCCGTCTATGAGCGCGTGGAGATGTTCCACACAGATTCCGCAGGGCTCCAAGACAGTTCTCGTGTGAATTCGCATTCGTCAGATTCATGACCGGGATCTTACCACTTGAGCGACAAACAAATCCCAAGCCCCCAAATTCAATCCGTGTAGAACGTGAAGCGCTAGATCCTCCAGAAGAACCGCAACTGCTTCAATCCGACTCTGAAAGTGCAAAAAATGCTCCACCGAATCCCTGTCCCAGGTGATGTGCGGTATCTCGGCACTGGCATTGAAGACAAATGCCCCAACTTTGTTGCGCGAGGATTGTCCGGCGAACTTTGAAATCTTGAGGTTTGGGATGTGCTATAGGGGCTCAAATAGTTACCGATATTATTTTGGAGTTCCTTATTACCATCATAGTATAATATACTCCAAAACCCCATTCTAATTATTAAGGCCCATATATTACGGTTTAAACGGGCTCTGGGAATCTTTAAGGGTTCAGGAGTTGCAGGGTGAGGGGTTTCGGGTTAAGGGCGGCCAGAAGTTTTAAGGCATGTCTGTTCGCCTGATGGAAGACACCCCAAAGCTTTGTGCGACGCCTTCAGCATGTCCCTTGTGACTTGCAGGAGGCATTGACCTACAAGGACGCGAAGGGAGCCACCGTCTTCGGTAGCAGCGCCCATCGGCTGAAAGGGCTTGCCCTACTCTGTTCTGTTCCCAAGAATTTGTGTTTTGTCAGGGTTGAGGGTGCTTAAGGCTTGAGCTCGTCAAATTGGTCTTAAGATTTCGAGACATTCGCATGAGCACGAGCTAACTGAGTACCGCAGTACCAGTAGAGAGGTACGTGCTACTCCTACAGCCATTGGCGTTGATCACGCCAGTAAATGTGCTTGTCTCTGCTGACGGCGGTGGTGAAAGTGCTGAAACTTCTCTGTTGGTGAAGATGCTAACGACCAGCAAAATAGTCATAAGGACCAACAAGACGACAGCGACGATGCCAGTGAATGCGTTGTTTGTGTCTCGCTTGGAGATCTGAGAGCTCGGTTAAAAGCCAGAATAGCCATTGATAGTAACGGCAACAGAATGATTAGAGGAGAAAGTCTCACTGGTAAGCGCTATCGAGTCCAAACCCCTAGTGCGATTTTCACACGGAACAGTCACAATAACACAGGCCCGGATGGTTGGTATGAGAAGACGTCATGCATCTCTACCTGCAGCCGGGGTTTATGAATTCGGCCTCTCACATCGTTTCGAGTCACCTCAAGTTGTCATGCAAGGAAAAGTGCGCGCCGGAGAAGGTGATTGCTGCCAACGCCTCTGCCGCAGCTTGTTTGACCAAATTGAGTGCTTTTTGTTACGGACGTGCGAGCTCCTATCTGAGATTCTGAGCACCTGTAATTACAGCCTTTGACTGAGGGGTCTCAAAACTCGTTTCGGAAGGGACATAATTTTCGTGCCTGCTGCAGTTGCAAATGAGCTACTAATGCCATCCTACACAAACCGTAAGCCGTCGCTATGGAAAAGCCTATAAGCCCTCCGTCGCCAGAACTAAGAGAAGCGTTAACCAAAGGTAACAACCTAATTCAGAAGACAGGTGGCTGACGAGAACCCTAAATTTTGGCATCCTGCTGGTTAGGGCCGAAGCTGAATCTATATGGGTTCCTGTAAAGGATCCACAAGGGTTAATTACTGGGGTTTGGGGTTTAGGCCTAGGGTTCGAACCCTGAAAACTGAGCCCTACTGGTTCCGGGTAAATGGAGACGCTAAACCGTCCGCCATGCTGGTTCCGGTTGAACCGTAAACCCACAACCCTATCGACGGTATACACCAATCACAACCCTTTTCAACCTTAAGCTCCATATGGGTGGTTGTCGAAACTAGGTTTTGGGTCCCTATTAAACATGGCACCCAATATTTTGGGGTACCCAAAAAGGATCCTAATCTGACAACCACCCATGTGAGAACCCTACGTCCTTCAGTTTCAGTCGGAGCTCTTGATCGCAGGTGCGAGAGTGGGATTCCAATGGCACTGTCTTCGGCCACTGAGCTTCAAACATTATTCGGTTTAGGATTTGAAGCTGGTCTTTTTTGGGTTTCATGGGATTTTTAACGTTTTTTTTATTGTCGGGTTTGGGAAATTTAAAGTCTTGGGCTTCATCGGCTTCAGGGCTTGGAACTCAGGGTATACGGGCGCTTTCAGAGCGCCTTGGTCTTCAGACTGACCCACCCAAACAACACGGAGTCATAACTCTAACGAAAACTTCAGACATCTCGTACACCGCGGACGGTGGTTTTCTGTTCACATCAACAGCTGTGGCCGAACGTTTGAACCAGACCGATAAGAGTTGAAACATGGAGAGCTTGGCCTAGCCACAGAACATGGTGAGCCCCAAACCCAGGCCCGTTCCTATAAAGCCCCAGGTGGGAAAAATAACGCCCCATAAGCGACACTTTAGACCTTGCCAGGCTTTGTCCGAGTGTGAGTGTCAAAAAAAGCCCCATAAGCTTCCTCATGCTCTGCAGCCTAAGAGAGCTGCGGCGTCGAACTGAGGATTCAATCCGAACATCCCCGGCCATGATGCAGGCGGCGACCGCTGTTCGAGCTAAAGGGAAAGGACATAATTGACATAATACTTAAGGGTTTGGGTGTGGCATCCAAACAAGGAATGCAAAAAAGCATTGCACCAAGCTCAGCTGTTGCACAGCGCCAAATGTGGTGCTCAAACAGTCTTGAGGGTCTATAGATCATGAGCAGGTTCTACCAGCGTTGGTTTGTCTAGATCTTGAGCAGGTTCTATATACCATTGTTGATGGAGCCCTGGAGGGTCCGTTGAAGTGAGCCGCCACAAAGACTAGGTAGTGGCGCTCATAACAGCATGCAAGTTCTGCCTTCCGCGGAGCAAGCCTTCCTGCTCTCCTTTTCTAGTTGCTCTAAAGTAAAAGCCAGAAAGCTGGAATATGATTATCCTAAACCCTTTATAGTAAATTATAAGGTATCCTACCCTGAAACCATATTCCAACTTTCTGGAGTTCCCTTTAAGCCCCCCCCCCCCCCCGAAACTTCGAATAACAATCCGGTCTATGTCTCTCAACGAGCGTCAAATGAGCCCAGCGGAAACTGACTTGGTGTTTCCTCAAGTCCCAAGGCTGAGTAGGACCACAGCGAACCCTGGCATTCGTGCGAGGACATCAACACGGTAGCTACCATGAGCATCTGGCAAGGTGAGTTTGGCCACAACGACTTCTACCCTGTCGTGATGGCAGCTGCGCAGGCCCGGCTCTTGCACAGCGGGCATCAAAGCATGCGCATTCTAGCGAGTTCGTGGCGGGCTTTCGCTTGCTTCGGTTTCCCCCTCCTGGCGATGACTGGGCTTAATTAAACCCTAAACCCCTAACCCCTCTTGTAACCTACTCGGCGAGGGAAGAGGTCCTGCTAAAAAATAGCCCGGCTTGTGTAAGTATGTGGAGACGGTAGTGCCGAGGCAGTCCGGGGCTCCGTCTCAGGGAGGCTCAGGGATTAGAGGGACCTATAGACTATAGAACCCAAAAGACAGGTTTCGGGCTAACTCAAGGTTTACATAGGGCTTGGGGTTTAGAGTTTAGGGGTTTAGGATTCATACCGCATGCTTGGGAGAGAGAGAGAGAGAGAGAGAGAGAGAGAGAGAGAGAGAGGGGGTTTATGACCCGCACAAAGTCACATGCGGGTGGGCTTTGAAGCCCGGGGGTCTTGACCGACCCCTATGCCCGAGAGAGAGAGAGAGAGAGAGAGAGAGAGAGAGAGAGGGTTTATGAGCTTATAACAGGCTGTTGAGGAGTGTGCGCAGGCACACAATCCAAGCCCATGCTACAAAAAGGCTTATAACGGCCCCAAACACCAAACTCAGGTGACAGGTAAGGTGGATGGCAAGAAAGCCTTGCTGGCGCCGCTGGGTACAGCAAGTCTTCACGAGTTCTGGTTTTGCATAGAACCTTGAAAACCTATGTGTCTAGGATTCCCCTTTGGGGCCGCAGTATTTCCTTGTATGTTTCGTAAAACAAGGTATGTTTGCAGGCTTCAGCTAGGGTTTTATTGCTGAGGGCGAACAGTCTTGACGAGGGGAGGATCAACGGATGTTGTGCTTTAGCAGCATCTCAAGATGTGGCCGCAAACATGGAGGGGGACGTGTAGTTTGTGTTTGTTGTAGCTAGTTTGGCATCCGAGCATGCCATCCGTACATCTTGTACATCTACAGTGCTTCTATGTGGGTGGTTGTCAAAATTATGGTCCCTTTCTGGGTACCCTAAATAATATGTTCCGGATTATCATAATGAGCCAAAAAGGGACCCGAATTTTGACAACCACCCATCTGTAGTTGCACTTATGAAGTTCTGAAATCAACACTGCCAGAGCAGCACCACGTACCGGGCCCGGGCTCGAAGCTGGATGATCTAGCCAGTGCCTGCAAGTGACCATCACCTACTTCGGCCAGCATCGGATACCCTTGTCATGATGCATCAGTGGAACCGGTTCCTGAAAGTTTGAAGGTTTCCGGAGACATCATGGCCAGCTACTCCTTGAACAATGCATTCTTTCAGAGCCTCGTTTAGGCCGTGATTCGTGCTGCTTCCGTCCAAGTCCATCGTTCACGCCTGCACCGAGGATGATAGCACTGGATGAAATCCGAGGACGTCTGGCAGAGGCTTGGAGAAGAGAACATGTAACACAGCCAGAACTCCGACCCATTAAGCTGCGTTCCTGTTCAGCTGCTGGCGGTTTCAACACTAGCGAAACAAAAGCCTCCTTTCCCTGACCTGCCTTATTTGTGCGCCGACTTGCGATGAGGAAGGCAAGAACCTTCCCAGACCCGAATTGCTCACCCTTTACCTTTGGTTAGTAGGGAATGGAGGAATGGGGTACAATTATAACTACTATTAATACCATTCTTCCATTCCCTGCTAACCAAAGGTAAGACCCATGATGTCAGGTCTTCAGCCTCAAGAGCTGCTTGATGAGCATTTTTCGGAGGTTGGGGATTCAAAGTTCAGGGATACCTTCAATTACTTAGGACCAGGATTTTCAATTTTGTGCAGCCATCCGACTGAAGTTATCCAACTGTTCTTCCGTCCTAGATGCGGTGATGTCAGAAAACGAGCCAAGTTAGAAGCCTTGTAAACATATTGCAAGCACTGGTAAGGGTGGACACTGGCAGTGATAAATCTTTGTCAGAACATGGTGAAGATCTTTGTGCAAACAGACTTGCTTCGCGCGTTGGGTTCGGGCCTATGCTGGTATGAAGGAGTCTGGCCGCAGAGCCTTAGAGTCACTATGGTGGCTCCTTACATCTCGCCATGCATACACTCATACAGACAACATGTATGCACGCATCGTCTGTTCGTTAACCTTTTCATGAACTGCGTAATTAATTAATGAAGTCATTTCATTCATTCATCCACTCATCCGATGGTCCATCCATCCAGTCGATTCCGTCAGTCAAGCAGTCAGTCAGTTAGCTGTTCGTTTCGTTTGTACGTGCGTATATGGATACACTGGTTTTGTGCTTGCCTGCCTATGTACCTATCTGTCTATCTACCTATCTATCAGAATCTTTCTATGCTATAGCTATACATATAGCAATAGACAGATAGTAGTTAGATGACTGGCAGGCATAGAGAGACAAATACAACGGCAGACACTTAACTGGATCGATCTACAGAACACAGTGAGAAGACAGGTAGGCAGGTAGGCAGGTAAGTAGGTAGGGTGTGAGGGCTTGTCATGACTTTGTTGTCGCTCTTGTGGCTTTTGGAGGAAGGGAGATCTGCCTAAAAAGTGAAACCAAGGCTACAAGATTGATCATGTGGTGCATGGCCGCTTATCTGCTGTCAAATTTGTTGCTGCCAATGGCTGTGTCTTCTTACGGAAGGGCGGTTTATTTCTTCTGCAAGTTTCGAGGCAGGGAGATAGTCTCTACTTCATCAGGTACAGTCTGAACTTTTCTTTCGTTTGGACAGGATTGTTGTCATGAAGGGTCTTCAGATCAGCCCAAAGAATCGCCTACGATCTTGAGATCCAGACCGGCGTCTGTAGAATTTCGAGCATGAGAACAAGCCAAGCACGTCTACTATCCTGTTGAACATTCCCTACACCCACTTCACGTATGAACGCCCTGGAGGCCCCCCTGAAAGTCTTCAACGCACGAATTGCCCGAACCATCCTCTGTCGGGCTTCGTTCTCCTATTTGGTAGATATACTATTGTAAAGACTTCTCGGCATTTGCGCAAAACCAAGAAAGAGTGCCGAAACCCTCAAACCCGAAACTGGCACAGAACCTGAAACCCCCAAACCTCATTGAGTAGGGAGGGATTGGCCACCCCGACTTGGCAGGTTGTTAGATTTCTGGTCTGTGCGGTTGAAGGCTTTTCATGCTGTCGTTGTTAGTTTGACTCATCAAAACCTCGAACCACATGCCTCGCCCGAGTGTGAGCGCTGAAATAACCCTAAACCCCAAGACCCCCAAACCCTTAGAGCCCTAAGATCCTAAACCCTGAACCCCAGACCCCTGGATCCCTAAACCCCCTAAACCGTGCCTGCGTGAGCGAGTGTGCGTGTCGAAACCGAAACGGATCGCTCCCAGGAGCCATCGCATCCGCTGCTGTCTACGGTGCACTGCTGGGTGCCTCTGTGGAAGAGCTCCCTGGTTCCACGATGTGGGTTTTGTTGAACTCTAGAAACTCATCTGGGGTAGTTCCATCAAACTAGGGATATGTCAGGTGGCTTTTTCGTAATCTTGCTGCTGAAATCTTCTTCAGTATTTCTCCTGCCAAGTAAACATGAAGAGGCCTGTGTATGTGCATGTGTCCAAGACATACCGTGCTTACTGTAGGATTTGTTTAGTTAGTTCCGTCATTCATTGCTGTATCCGACACGGGCCTGCTTGTGTATGTGTGCTGTAGGTTTGTGTGCGCATCTGCTCGTGTGCTCGAAATACAGAAGCGCATACCGCATCTTGGAGGTGAGCTGTCCCGGACCACATTATCACCAAACTTGATTCGGGTACCCCAAGTGATTGACATAAGAGTAAGCAGCAGAGAAAGCACAGTTTACATGGAGTTGTGTTTGTTTACATTGTTCGGTGGTAGCTTTTCTCTGTGCATTGGTTATGCCGCGTCCAGCCGAGCAGCCATAGAACAGACAGCTCCAAGGATTAATACCCTCAACCCTTTATACGGTTTAGGATTATATGATATTACATTATATGAGACTATACTACATTATATTAAATTAGCCTTGATCCCGACACCCTAGGATCGAGAGTGCGATCGGCATGGCCGTGGCTCACTACATTCCTTTCCGCGCGATCCGGGCAGGTTCGCGCAGACGAAAGCCCACCCGAGCTATGATCTACATGCAGCAGTATACCCAACTGTAACTCATGACAATTAAAGTGCTAGGAAGTTAAGAGCAATTATAGCGTCACTCAACAAATTTCGTCCTTCATATGTGATATCTACATGGCATATTTATGTATGTATACATGTATACATGTATATCTGTATGTGTGTATATATATATATATAGAGAGAGAGAGAGAGAAAGACAGACAGACATCAGATAGTATACATGCATGTCTATATACATGTATATATATATATATATATATAATGTATAAATGCAGCTAGTGTGCCCAGGTCGTCCTTAATGTCCTCATCAATAGAGCTGAAAGCATCCCGATCTGAATTGCATGTGCAAGCCAAGCAGTAGCCCACGCAGCGCCACGGCATCATGAAGCGGAAAGCAGCAGTTGTGGGCTGGATTGCCATCAGTCATCCTCGAAACCAAGCTCGCAAGACTAGCAAGATGCTGCTGCTTCTCTGCTGACCGCAATTTTGAAAAAAACCTTCACCAGCCCATATTGAGAACCCTGCACGCGTCAACCCCAGCAACTCCGACCTCGAATCTTGAAGCCCTCGAGCGCATCGTCTTGCAGTTCCTAATGCTCGAACCCTACCTACGGCACGAAGGCCTGAAGAACTTTTCACTTACCTTTGGTTAGTAAGGAATGGAAGAATGGAAGAATGGAAGAATGGAAGAATGGAAGAATGGAAGAATGGTAGTAGTAGTAGTAGTAGTAGTAGCAGTAGTAGTAGCAGTAGTAGTAGTAGTTACAATTGTACCCCATTCTCCATTCCCTACTAACCCAAGGTAAGTTTCAAGCCCTGCAGGAAAGCAGCTTTCTGACTCCAAGGCCTCCCTGGGCCTCTCTTTCGGGATGAATTGTCATAGAGGGCTCTGTGGTTCAGGGTGCCTGTTCCCTTTCATTCCCGTCGTTCTATTGTCATCCCTCAGTCTTCGTTATTGTGCCATGTTATCACGCTGCTCACGTGTAGCAGGTCTTCGGAAAGTGTTGCCTTCTGCACTGCTTGGCCAAGAAGTGCTCATTGCGGGTTGGTTCTTAGCGCATGTGCCGAGACCTGGAATAGTGGCACGTGTATGGTTAGGATACGGCAACATCCTTGAAGATGAGAACAGGGTAGTCGTGAACTCACCAGAATTCAGGGTCTTTTTATGGTTAGGATCCTATACTTGAGATTTTGGTTAACCATTTAAAAAAGGAACTACAATGGAGACTATAGGTAGGTACTCTTGAAGAGCTTCTGGCTGGTTCTAGGTTTTGGTGCTGGGAGGTAACCTCGAGTTGAGGGCTTCTTGAGCACATAATGGGGCTTCAAAATCCTATGCGGCATAGCTTCCGAAAGTTAAGAGGTACCTTATTTTGGGGTCCTTACAGTAAGGACCCTAGTATTTAAGGTACTGTACTATATCAGGGTCCCCTATTTTCGGAAACCCCCAGAATCTCCCAGATGTCAGTGAGCCAACCTGCAGCCCGGGGGCTTCACTCGTGGTCCTTGTTTTATCGAGATCCGTACAGCAGAGATCCTTCTATTTGGGGCTTTACGCTGAGATCCAGTATAGAAGCTCCTAACTACTTGGCTTTCCGAGGTTGGAGTCTGCAGTCGTGCGATGGCGATGGTACCTTCGAATCAGACCATGGCGTCATGCACCCATATAGTCTATACTTTGGCATACTTTGACCCGAAAGTCGCCTTAACATGCCCTAAAAGCGTAAGGGCCTACTCTCATTATTCGGGCCCCTGCTGCATGTACGGAAAAGGATCTCAGATCAGGCCTGCGCCGTAAACGTTACAACGCCCTGCAGTGATTGAGGATTCAGGGTCGCCCTAGACCCTTTTGTATGGGCCCTTCACTGTTGCTAGACTTGAGTCCAGTGGCAAAAAAGGGTCGCCCTAAACCCCTGAGTCAGGGTTTCAAAATTTTGGGTAATACCTGGGCAACCCAAGCCTTTGGCATGCTGGAAGAACCTTGCCATCAGGGAGCGTCCGCTGCAATTTCCACGGAGGCCGCCGTGCTCTCAATGCGGCGAGTGCCTTGGAGCTAGCAGTAGTGGACTTATCTGTCGGGTCAGCAACCTCCTGGGGTTTGGGGTAGGGGTTTAGGATTTATGGTTTAAGGGTTTAGGGGTTTAGGGTTTAGGGCTTCAGGGTTTGGGGGTTTTGGGTTTATTACGACCCCTACATATTAGAAGGTAACTATATGTTTCCCCGAAACTGGACATGTAAGTGCAGCGGTGGTGCAGTATAGGTTCCAGAACTCCTGGCATGGCCATCCCACACCGTACGGCGCTAGAACTACCTGTAGTCTCCATTGTAGTTCCTTTTCTTGGTTAACCAAAATCTCCTGTATAGGATGCTAACCCTAAAACTGGTTAACCCAAGAAAGGAGCTACAATGGAGACTATAGGTAGAGCCTGAAGCAAACTGAGAAGTGCTTGGGTTCCGGTACCCTTCGGTAACATGCAGCCACCAGTTGTGTGCATAGCGGTGCTGGGAAGGAGCAGCAATTCATCAGAGCGAAAGTGCGCAAGCACGGCGGCTAGGCCACCAAAGCCTAAGTCCTTTATGTACCGGTTTATGTCTTCGGAGACCCCGGAAATGCAGTAGGGCTAAGTAGTTTTGCCCTCACTGGCTTCTCGCTCACGTGTAAGACCGACGGGGTCTCAGAGTACATGATGCATCTTTCATCCTCTTGCGTCGGCACGATGCTTCTTGTCAGGTGTGGGTCCCAGGCACCCCAACAGGCATCTACAGGAGGACATCGGGCTATTGTTTCCGATTATTGGGACCAACAGTGCGATGCGATGCTGGAGTACATGTAGGCCTCGGCTGCGTGCGGCTCAGGCCATGCGCGGCTTCGTTGGCCCCAAGGACATCTTCAGGAATCCTGAGGCAGGCTGCATGGCTATGTAATCAGAAGCCTCTAGACTCGCCAAAACGTATTCCTTACGGTTCCAATTACATTTAGAAAGCATAGTGTAGTATATAACACACCCCGAAACCACGTCGAACTGTTCAGGCCCCGTCAGCGGAGAAGAATCACCAGAACTCACATCTGAAGCGGACCCAGAGAGCCCCTGGTTTGAGCTGAATTTTAGGCTTCTGCCCTCGGGATTGCGAGAACTCAGTACTCATTGGCTTCACAGTTTACGTGGTGAGTTCGGTGGCTGGCAGACTGCCGTACCTCCGTCCGTGCTAAGAATTCAATGCACCTTTCCAACAATCGCTGACTGGCCAGGCCATTTTCCGCTTTTTCGAGCCTTCCACTGGAACAGGCCTGGTTTGCGTGATTTTAGGGTCCGACATTTGCTCCAGGACGAGTTGAACGGATCCCTACTGCTCGCAGGCACAGAAGCAGGATACGCAATATCATTTACTTACTTTGTCAGTAAGCGACACGGGCCCAACAGATGCCGTCAATGCTTTTATACCCTCAACAGCAGATGATGCCGATGCCTCAACCATGATCATAAGGCACGCTTGCCACGTTTTCTTACCTTGCATCGGAAGCCCTTGACTGAATGGCACGTCAGGGCCATCAAGCGTATCTGAGCTTCGGGGAGCCACGGCTACTGCATGGCCAGGAAAAAGCAAGGACAACATCGACATCACCCTCAGCCCTGGGGCCCAGACAAGGGTGGGCATGGTGTCTCTTCAGACTTTGCCTGGCTGCCCGGGTTCAATCCACAGGGGGCCTTCAAGGCTTCAAGGATTCAGGCAGATGAATGTGTATAGCTAGATGGATAGCCAGCTGTCGAGGTGGGCAGGTAGATAGGCACAGTAGGACGGGGACGACAGATGGTTTTGGGGGGGTAGATACCGGACGTACCGTAGTTGTACGAGACGATCTACATGCAACAGCTCATCATCTTCAGATGCCGAAGTTTCGAGACGGCTGGAGCATCTTATTATGTGATGGGCTCAGTGAGGGAGCTCGCAGGGGTGGCTGCAGGCTCGGCCTCAAGAACCCGAAGCCTATAAAGCTCAAGTGGGCATCCGGTCGCTACGGCTCCGGATGGGTTGATCAAGTCATTGCTCGAAGCTCAGGCAAGAAGGTTATTATTGTAGGGACCGCAAAAGCCGCTAAAGTAAGTACCGCACTCATTCCAAAGTGGGATCCTTGTCATGGCTCAGGCAACAAGGTTAGATGGGGCGTGGGCCCCAGCCCCTTCAACCTCGTCCTGTCTCACGCTGGGGACGACTTTGCAGCGCCCTGGACGCAGACATCCCGGCTGTGTAAGATAAATGTATCTTCATGGGCTTTGCTGTCGGCGTCCTTACAATAAGGATCCTACTTTTGAATGTTTCTAATGGGGCCCCGGTTAAGTTGGGACCAGGATGGAGCGAGGCCCTGGCCGTTGAGACTTCTTGCAACGCCGAGAACACAAGTGGCCGGAACATGCTTCGTAGCAATATCCCCCCTGTAGTCCCGCCGCTATTTTGACATCACAATACACCCCCAACTTGCATATGTAATTAGTATGAAGGGCACTGCATTGTGCCCACGACATTGCCAACCCGGCTGTTCCGTCTCTGCCTCGCAGTTGCAGCTAACGAGATCCCAAGTATTTAGAGCTTATGGGCTTCAGGATGTGGGGCACAAAGGGTTTGGGGCTGTAGGGGCTTTAGGGCTGTAGCAAGACTTGCTCCCGCGAAACCCGGACGAAAATTGGACTCCAGAACGTCACAAGAAATCCTTAGACATCCCTTAAAACACTCTACAGGCCTTTTTGCCAGTTTGGGATACTTTGCCATGTCGTTTACACGCATGTAGACAACAGTACAGGATCACAGCTAGGTTTGGAGGGCCTTGAAGTACCACGATCAAACCCTATAGGACTCAAAAGCCGGAGTCCTGGCCATGCGGGACGCCAACCCTAAACCCAAGCCCTCGCGCATCAAACCCTAAACCCAAAAGGGACGGTTAAAAGAAACGCCCTAAACCCTAAACCCTAAAGCAGGTCATGGGCATGCACTTCAAGCTGGGACTCTACGAGCACCAATCTGCCGGCGCGCTGGAGGGCGCCATTTCGGCTTTGGCCGCCGGGCCTCGCAGATACTAGGACCCGGAGTAGGCCCTTATTCCCTTTTTTAGGGTTTAGGTTCCCTTATAACCCCCTTTAAACCAAAAAGGGCACCCTTTTTATTCCTAGGTTACTCTTAGGTCTAGGATATAAATACTCAGAGAGGCACAGGTAAAGGGGTCTGAATGATTATCGATAGCTTTTGTTTTTCAAAGGGGGAACCTTGAGAAATATGATGAACAAACATAAACAAGTATATAAATCTAGAAGAAGATACATATACATATCACCTAGCGCAAGCCCCACTCTGATTATTGAGGTTTCTAAAGTTGTAGACACTCACATAAACCCCAAGACAAAAGCACCCTTGCATGAGGACCCCACCTAAGATATCTCGAATTGCAGAGATTGCCCTGTTGTGACGAATTCCTACAAAATTCTACCTGAACTGCATGAAAGGGAAAACCCAACGATACACCCTAAACTGAAACCCTCAAATAACCGGAATAATACAACATGAAGCATTTGGCCACGACCCAGGTACAGAACCCCGAACTAGCCGCAGGCAAGCGGAGCGCGTCATTCAGCGTCGGGGTTCTGAGTTTGGGGACTCTTGCTTGAAGTTCCGAGGATGGGTTTTTGTTGGCTTTTCGGCGAAGGCAGCCCGGGACGGATTCAACCAGCAATAACTCAAACAAGAACGGTGGTGTTACTCTTACTCTAACGACGAAGCACTTCGGCTAAAGGCAGCCGGCAGTAACCTCGCCAGGCTTGCCCTAGTTGTGAGTGCTGACGAGGTGGTGTTGATGGCATCGCTGGCATCAACATCATCGCTTACGAGCCAGCCTTCGGCATTATTGGTGACCCGGCCAAGAAGGACCCCACGACGCGACAGCTCCTTGGTGGCCATAAAATGACTTGTCTAACATTGTGATGCTTTTTGGTCTGCACGAGAATTATGTGCTTTCAATATTTGCATGCAGAATCATGGAACGCAGAGGACAAACTTGATGTGGGCTGGCGTGAATAGTTTCTGCACAGCAATCCTTTCGGCGCGAATGTGCAATACTTCATAAATCAGGCATAGTGCGAGTTATGGCCGTAGCGGTGAGAGTTTCGGTGTATCAACAACTCCCGATGGCATGCGGCTTGTGGGCTTGGGTGGACGGGACATCCGATCGGACAGAGCTGCCAGTGGCAAACACTATCTAGGCCGTTGTCAAGATTAGGGTATTTTTGGGTCCCTATTATCGTACGGTACCCAGAAAGGGACCTCAATTTTGACACCTACCCATCTAGCAAGTGTAGAGAGACAAGAAACGGAGGAGCCTTGGTAGTAAGTCGTTGCACAAACGATCACAGTGCCAAGGCTGCTAAGGCCAGCAATTTGCGTCTGGTTGAAGGGCTTTACAACTGCCATGGCTTAAGGTCCGAGTTCTCTGATAAAAAGGGCAAAGCCACTGTTGATTTTCCGCGGAGATATGCCTCCATGCAGTGCGGGCAAGACACAGACTATGCAAGACTTCCCGAAAGACCAAGGGTTTAGAGCCTAAATCCTCAAGCGTCACCCTCCTCACCTTCCTCATCTTCTCGTGAAAGCCTGAACGGGAACCCTACAGCCCAAGACCGCGTCGAAGCAGCAGCATCAAACAACAACCTGACCTAAATTATTCTCCTGAGTTCTAAAGCCATGGCTTGCGGGCGCAGACCCGAAAGTGCGTTGGCGAAATTTGCCAGGTCCTTGAAGGACCGAAGGCACGAAGGAGCTGTGGATGTCGAGTTGGCACCCCTCCTCTTTCCCATGTACACCTTGCCTGCAGAGGTTTTGCTGCAGATGACAGAAGTGGAGACACACGAGGCCCTGAAAGCAACTGGCTTGTTAGTTGAGTTTGACGCATCCATGGGCAATGCTATCTTTGTCTCACATCAGTGGGTTGGCAATCAGCACCCGGACCCAGAGAGCAAGCAGTTGCGGGTCCTACAAGATGCCTTAACACACATGCTTTCGAATCTGCACCATATACCTGTGGATGGATTCACAGAGGTTCATGTGCCCAGAACGAGACCTCTACCAACGGCTGATCTCAAAGCGGTGCCACTGTTTATTTGGTACGATTACTTCTCGTGCCCACAGCTCGAGAGCTGCGGCTCACGCAGTGCCTCTGAGCTCGAGGAGGGAAGCCAACTGTCCCAGGCCATCGACAGCATCCCGGCGTACGTTGCAAGGTGCCGATTCTTCTTCGCCCTTTGCCCTGTGGTCGAGAGCCTTTCGCTTGAAAAAGTGTTCACACAATTCACGTGGTCTGAGCGTGGCTGGTGCCGCGTTGAAAGAGTCTTGCGAGAGCTCTCAAAGGATCAGTCCTGGGTCATGATAAAGAGCAGCACAGCGGTGGAACTTGTATCGTCCATCCTAAGTGGACTGGGAGGTTCTGCAGGTGAAGGCCAGTACACAAAAGCAGAGGATCGCGAGAAGCTCGCTATGGTTCTTCAGAATGCACTGCTGCGCAAGCTGACATTTTTCCTGAAGTCCCAGGATCTCGAAGGCTACCGCGTGCTTCTGAACATGCAGGGCTTTTACCTGAGAGGTCTGCCTGCAAGTCCGATAAGGGACATAGTTCCTGGTTTTGAGCCAGATGAGACCGCAGGAGATAAGGACGCTCAGATGACACAGCAGTTCCTCTACCAGAACGGCTTTGCGAACGTCAACGACTTTGACAGGTCAGGCTGGGCGCCGGTGCACTATGCTGCGCTTCTTGGGGACACCTCGGTGTTGAAGGGCCTCATCAAGCAGAAGGCCAACATCAACCGCTGGACCCGCAAGGACCAGCCGCAGTCGGGAATGCCTCTTGGAGCTCAGCCGCTACAGATTTGTATCCTTTTCAAACACCACTCAGCGATGCGCTTACTGATTTCTGCCAGAGCTCGTATCGATTCCAACTTCTATCCGGACGTTACTGTGGCTGCTATGGCAAACGATCCGGAGGCCGTCCGAATTGTCTGCCAAGCGGGTGGCAGTCTCTTCAAAAGGAATGTGGTTGGCATGAACTCCTTTGACATTGCCGGCATGTTCGGTTCGCTTGCAGGACTGGAGGAGCTTGTTGTTCAAGTCGGACCGGATCTGCGCATGGCAGACCTCTCAAAAGCCCTTTTGGCTGCTACAGGAGTTCGGGGAGGCAGCGCAGAACTTGTTCAAAGGCTCCTAGAGCTGCGAGTCGATGCGAATGTACAGTCCACGATGTCCAGCAACGCCGCCGCACACGTCCTCTTCACCGCAAAGTCCATTCAGCACCGCTGCAGCAAGGCAACCTTCGTGACAAGATGGGCCTATCACCTCAACGGTCAGACTGCGCTGATGGCAGCCGTCATGTCGGGACAGTACCTGGGCTTTGGAGTACCATACTTTACTACTTTTTGGGGGCCTGGTGCTTAAAGGGAACCAATTATGAAATAAAAGTCTATACTTTTTTCCCCTGCCTACCTCAAAGTCCAGGTACGAAGCTGCTGCCGCCCTGGTGGCCGCTGGCGCTAAGCTGGAGTTGCGCAACTCGCGCAACTGGACGGCGGCTGACTTTGCCAAAGGCTTCTCGGACTCAAGTACCAAAGAAGTTCTCACTTGGTTCTAGTCTAACCTAACTTTTCGCAGACTCTGACTCTCTATGGTTTCCCCAAAGCCCATGAAGCCCCAATCCTCAGCTAGGGCTTTCCGAAAATTAGAGGTCTCTTATTTTGGGTTCTTTTTAAACGAGGATCCTACTAGTTAGGGTACTATATTAGGGTCCCCTGTTTGCGGAAACTCTCATATGTTCCCTTCACCCTAAACCCTAAAAGCCCTAAACTTATTTTCGTTCAGCGGATAGGATTTTGAGAGACACAGTCACTTTATGTGTTGGCATTGCCTTGTTGATACGCACTTGACGATTCCTCCTAGTGCAGTCTCACTCGTCAGACTCCGAACCACATGCCTCGCCTGGATTGTCCGAGTGTGAGCGCCGAAACCTTCAATAAAACCTAATCGGAAGCTCCCATATATTCCCTTAACCCTAAACCCTCAAAAAGCCCTAAACCTATTTTCGGAATGCGGGCTTCGTCCTAGCTAGGCAGCTAGGTGGGAGGGAATTTTTTTTTCGGAAGCTCCCAGGTCAGGCTGTGCCAGACTTCTTGACCGAAGCTTTCGAAGGGCAGCTCGAGGGCTGCCGGAGGGTGGCAAATCAAGCCATCAGGAATGCCTCATTTGAGGTGTAATGTAGGAACCTGTTTAAGAAACCCTGGGCCTTTTTTTTGGGGGGGGGTTCCTGATATGAATCCTACTATATTTTGGGGTTATCGGCCCGGGGGTTCTTAATCAGGTTCCTACATTAATGTGTCACAGAGGTATGACAGCATTATATGTACATGAACAAGGATCGTGCTTTGGGGTTGACCACCGAGTTGTATGTGATTCACTGTTTTTGAGATCTTGTGTAGGTTGCCCTGATTATAAAACAGTGCCATAATGCTGTCTAGATTCAGAGGCATGTTTTCAATTTTCAGAAATGTCAGAGATCGGTCGCTGTGTCCTGTGCGGAGCACGGGCGTCGCCGACTTTTTGGGTTCTGAGCAGGATCAGGTCCTAGGTTCAATGAGGCTTTTGAAAGTCAACATGACTCTGACGATGGATGCACTGGGGGCTGTGTTAGCTTTGTCTAGGCTATGATCTTGGTTCTCGGATCGCCCCTTGTGTGTCTGTATGCTTCTCACTTGCAACCGAACTTATGCAATGAGACCCTGTCTGGCAAAGTCTGAGGTGCGAGAGCGTAACAGCCTTTCAGCTTCTCAAGTTGAACCTCCAGGTATTCTTTGTGCGGGGTAGACCGCCGGCCGAAGCACTTCCGAACATAAAGATGACTCTTCTTTTGGTGAAGCCCATCGACCACAGGGCTTGAACTACAATAGTGTGTGAGCAATAACAAGAAAACCCTGCAGAGGCACGCAAACGGCCTCGAGTGAGAGTACCGACATCTGCTTGCTTGGTCTTTGATTCGGTTCTACTCTCAGCTTCAGACCTAGGGAAATCTTGGGTTAAGGCGGGGCTTAAAGGGCAAGATGCGGAACAACCCCGACTCACAACGTGAATTCCCTTCCGCCCAACCCGGCACAGAACCCTTGAGTCGCAGAGGGCCCCACAAGGTCAGCAGATCACTCGATGGCTTTCATCGTCTCGCGCATCCTGCAGAAGGCGTTGAAGAGTGGCAAGGCCCGTTGAACTCGGCAGGCTTTGGAGTGACTTCAATCTTCATACTAACCATATATAGGTAGCTGGGCTCCAAGGCTTAGTGACACGCTGCATATGAGAAAGGTCGAAAGAGTCATGTGGAGGGCTTAGCGTGGAGATGATGGCGCGTGCTGGAGCTTAAGGCTAGAACTTACCGCCTGCCGACAGGCTGCGGGTAAATACTGCAGGCCGAGTTCGAGCGCAGATTGTCCTTCCGGAATTCCTGAAACGCTGGCACAGGTCCCTGGAGCAATGGATGATTCCTGGATGGAGCTCATGCAGCCTGTCAGCCTAGTAGTAGAGTAGGTGACCTTCAACCTTTTTTGGGGCAGTACAGTCCCTATATAATCCATATATTAACAAAAAGGTTAACCTTTAGTTCGCCATGATACCCGACAAGTAGGCCAGTTTTAAGGTCGGATGTCTTGAGCCAGGCCAGGCGAAAGCGTGTGTAGTCACTCGCGACCTCAACCTGACCTTTCTCGGGCACTCAACTGGATCTTACGACAATGGCTTCGGTCGTCGTTCTTGCGTGTGAGTTCTGTGCCTTACCGGGAAACATACGCGCTTTTTTGATACGACTCCTGAACTAAAGCTGCGATTGCAGACGTATCGCAATTCGCAGTAGGAGTACCTAAGGAGCATGTCCCAATGACGCTCAGGCTGTCGCCCTACGACTATGGCAAGGATGCCCTTTATGAGAAGGACACCCGGGCGCTGATGGAGAAGATTTCGTGCTCGGGCTGACCTTGACCCTCTCGTGCTTTACTGTTGTTGTCGTTGTTTTTCCTGTTACTTGTGGTTGTAGCTTATTGTAGCTCAGGGTGTTTTCCTACCTCATTTCGCTGCTAGTGTTTCCCAAGTCAAACGATCTGGACCGTCTACCGACACGAGCAACTTGTGTGAGTCCGATGCCACCAAGCAACTTACCGCTCAGATCCTGCTCAGTCGGTTTCTAGGTTCGGGCGCCCTCATTATGATTGCTCTATTTGACAGGGGCAAAACGGAACCTAAGGTTTTCATGCAAGAAAATCGGCTCGTTTCTGGTGCAAGCATGTTCTCATGTGCAAGGATGTCCGTGCGGCTGGGCTTGAGTCATTACCCCTCGGGGTTACTTTATGGTCTTGCTCCCGTGGCCTCCTGTACTCTACCGTTTTGTTTCCGGGGTGCAGGGCTTTTCTCCCACAAGTGGTTTTTTCCCTGCATCTGAGCATCGATATGCGTAGAGCGAGCTTTATGTGGTCATGCTACAAGAGGCCCAAATGACACTATTCTAGTTCTTGAGTTGAGTCCTTTATATTACGGTCGAAGATGTCCGTTGGCGGTAGCCAACGATCGGAAGCTGCAGGTTCTCGCATGGCGGACCAGAATACGATGCCAAGTACCCTGATGGCATCCCCACCGCCATCGACATCACTCTCAAGAGTGGAAAGGCAAGGGTCATGGGGATCACTACTCAGCACTACTCCGAAGGAAATGAGCTGAAAGCCCCCAAAATCGAAAGCCCTCACGTGTTGCTCGGCCATGCTTGCATGATCTGAAATGCTATGATTGTCTGGCTAATGGCATTGTTGTCCCTGTCCGAATACATATGCTACAACACACCCGAAAGCTCTACACTTAATGCAATCTTCACAGGTCATTTCCAGTGGCATGGCTTCCAGACGGCATTTCAGCGCAAGAGTACAAAAGCACATTGCCCCTTCAGGTTTTCGGTTTTTGAAAGTAAAGTGGGGGGCATCTTAGGCGATAATGTTCATGTGCATGGGCTAGGGCCAGAAGCCTTGTGAACAGGACCAGGCATGATACATTCGACAAGGAGCTATACAAGCAAGCATCTATTCATCCATTCGTCCATCCGTGCTTACATACTTGCACACACCTACATACATCCATACAGAAGTACGTACATACATGCATATACATACTAATACGACGTCCCATTATGATATAGGCACCTCTGTCTCTCTCTCTCTCTCTCTCTCTCACCGTCTCTCTCTCTCTCTCTCTCTCTCTCTCTCTCTCTTATATCTACCCATTGTCGATGCATCTATCTATCTATCTATCTATCTATCTATCTAGAGTTAACATATACACACACACGGACATATGTTTAGGTATAATACTTATGTATTCAATATCTGCTTCCGCCCGTGTATGCCAGCTGAGAGCTTGTTTCGGTGCATCTTTGTACATCCCCTCCGAGGTGATGTACCCTTCGGGGCATGCTCGAAATACCTCTGCCGACTTGAAGAAGATCCTGCAGCACAAGAACCGAATGCTCCCCGGGGTTTAGGTTCGAAGCTTCGGGGTTTGGTCTCAGCCCTTGGCCCGGTGCGGTCCTGTAGGTACCCTATGGGATTTTTGGTACCCCAGAGTAGAGTACCCCTAATTCTTGGAAATTCCCATATCTTCAGAGGTCTGAAAGACGCCGGGAAGGCTTCTCATGCATCGAGTTTAGGGTTCGGATATCTGCAGGGCTTTGGTGTGATGGTGCCGTGGTCGGAACACGGAGCCCTGTGTTGAACACTGACGCACAAGGAATGCCAGCTCTGCTCAAGAATCTTCTTGGATGCACTGCATCAGGTTGGGTGACATCGTCTTTCCGGAAAGGAGCACCGTAGACAACTTCGTCTCTCGTGCTCTGGCTGGTTAATCCAAAGAACCCATTGACCCGAAAGCCAAAGGTTCTATCTTCCAAGTCGTGCTTTTCGCTTTCTCCTTTCTGGGACTGACTTTGCGGTGGATGCAGCCTCTGGGATCTTGCTTGCTTGGGACTAGGAGGGTTAAGTAGTGAAGTTGCGAGAGTGGAAGCTCCTCGCGACTCTGCACCCGCGTCCTCAACTGTCAGACCCTGGCCTAAAACTCGAAACCGGCGCGAATCTAAAACCAAAACCAGGTCACTAAACTCCCCGTATCTGGTTTCCTTACTGGCGACGCCGGACCCTCGACCAGCATCCTCCCAGGGCTCGTGACGATGAAGGACCGGGCTCAAACAAACTCGGGTTTGAAACAACAAATTCCTAATTTCGGTGTCTCAGAGAATCAATCGCATGTAGTTCACTTTTCACACCGACCTCGCACCTAAGAACCTCGCCTGGCTTTGTCCGAGTTGTGCGAGCGTAATTTCGGTGTCTTGGGGTGTTGATGATGGTTTCTATGCCATTCAAAAACGGGTGTACACAAAGTTTTGTGTGGTGTCTTAGCATCGGGGCACCTTGGTTCTCATGTTTGAGAAGGATACCTACCAGGTGGGACATACATCAGGGCTCACTCATTTGCTGCGGCGCCCACGACTTGGTCATTGAGAGGACATTTTCTAAGCTAGAGCTTGTTTCCGTCATGAATGATGATAGACTTATAGACAGCATGTCGTCGCCTGTCGGTACCCACACCTGCGCCGAATTTCATTGATACATTCATGCTCCGACACTTGGACTTTTGATTCTGGCCTTGGCTATTCGCGCCGACCTAGCAGTAATGTGTCCACCTGCTCTACTAAACCCTACTCCCTGTTTCTACACCTCAGCTAACCGGGCGGCCCTGGCACAGGATGCTTCTGCAGCCGACGTCGGCTCTCTGTACGACTTCGACTTCAGCGCCATCAAGAAGCATGATTGTACCGCCCCCGGGGGTGCTGGTGCCGGTGCTGCCGGTAGTGGTGGTTTGCTGAGGTCGCTTGATCAGTTGCTGTTGCTGTTGCTTGATGCTCATGCTGACACAGCTGCTGTTGCTGTCACTGCTGCTGCTGCTGTTGTTGTGGTCGTGGTGGTGGCGGTGGACCTGGTGTTCGTGCCTATGCTGGTGCTGGGGGCTGTGGTGGTGGTTCGTGGTGCTGTTCATGATGTCAGATGGTGGTGTGATGCCGTGTAATAAACCACCGATGACGGTCATGAGTCGTGATGATAGGTGATTGTGTCTAGGATTAGGGAGATTAGGGATGTACCTGATACTGTTGCAGCTGCTGCTGCTAGCCCTCATCATGGCGCACGATGTCGGCGACATGTGCGACTTACTAATCACTGTTGGCGCATGTGTTTACAGTTGTTGTTAATCCTGTTTCTACTGTTCTGCGAGGCTCTCTCGAACAGACAATGATGACATTCCCGCTTCTGCAGTGTACTGGAGAACTGCCCACGTGTTTTGCTTCGAGCCTTGGTCGTTTTCGGAGACCGGTGTTACAGGAGCTGCATTTCGCTTGCAGGCATCGATGGTTGAGGCTGGCAATCGCACAGCGTGTGCCGGCCTTTCTTCAACATCGGTTTGTTTGCCGGATACGCAGACTTTGTCCTCATTTCTTTAATCGCATCTTGGCATAGTGTCATCAAACTCTGGGTAATGACCAATTAGCAACATCTTTCCGTACCTTAGCTGCGCAACTAGCCTTGTGTTGTCGGCTTTGCTCAATTGGAGCAGGTCTGGCATCGGTAGATCTTTAGCATCTTGGAAGCTTTTGCTTGCGCAAAGTATGCCCGCATTGACAGAGGTAGTGCCAGGATCAGAAGGAGTACTGTCGCCCTTGAATGACAGTCTAGCGAGGCCTAAACTTCCGAACTCGGAACGTGTGACAGTCCTTTGAGGACTACTAAGAACAGAGACAGCTGAATGTTTGAGTTTACAAATGGCGGTTGGAACAGCTGGCATTGCCAAGGAATGCAGGGCATATATTTGAAAGCGCATCGGCATTGTTAATCATGGAGTCTACACGACGTTTCAATCATAGAAATGAAGAATACAAAAGGCACCAGGACTGGGCTGGGGCCATACCAGGGTTGATACTGCTGCGACGCAGGTTTCTGTTTAAGGCATCTAGGTCCAGCCTCATCTGCAGCAGCCTGCTTCACAAGCATAGTGGTATTGTCGGCCTGCACATTCCTGGTTGTGAGTGGAGACCGTCCTTTGCACATGGGGTAGTGGTCAACATTTGGATCTCTTTTAGGGTCCCTTTGATAAGGGTGCTGTACCATCTCGGGGGATCTGAAAAGGGGTAGAGAACTAATTACCCACAAAGCTTCTTTCATGCTTCGTCCTTTGCCCTGCTCAAGACCGATTCCTAGTAATTCCGATGCATTCTCCAGGATACATCTCTCTAAAGAAGCCTACGCCCGTTGCTTATTAGGGTTGTGCGTAGCTGGTGGGTCTCCAGGTATTCAGATTGGCCTTCAGGGATTTAGCCTCCGCGTTCTTTCCGTGGTTAGAGTCTAGTCTAGGCTTTACCCAAAGGGTCCAGAGTACCTATATGGTAGAATGTAGGGTTTCTGTATTCGGAAGCTTTAACTTGATTTGGGAAGGTATCCCCCATAACAGCGCCTAGGACCCTTTGGGTTAGGGAAGTTTAGGGTTGAGTCCGGAATTCACTCCGCCATGGTGCTGCGATCCGCTGCAGACGCCCTCCACAGGCTCACGAGGAGGTCCCGGGCATCGGGCCATTTCGCGTTAAACCACAACGCCCAGGAAGCCTCCTGTCTTTGGCTGAGAGCCTTCTGAACCCGAAACTACAGTCAGAGACAGGGAAGCCGACAGAAAGTTCATGTGCTGATACACAAGGGTTGGGCCGGATAGGCTGCAATGCTTTCAACGAGTCTCGGTTGTTTTTTCCTGCAGGGTGTTCATGTCAGCAGACTCTGTTTGTGATGTGGGTGTCCGTGTTCGTGCGTCGGCCTCCCTTCCCGCTTCCTCAATCGTGTCCTATAGCGGTTCGTTTTAGTTGTATTCCTCTTCTCTCAGTCGATGGTCTGTATGTGTGAATTGTATTTGAAATGGGAAACAATACTAATGAATGCAGAAACACTCTATTCTATATGTCTATCTGGATATGTGTGTGTATGTATATATATATATATATATATATATATATATATATATGCACTTATACGTGTGTTTATGTATACATATGTATTTACTCGCTTGTGTATTTTTTGATTACACAATATCAACTTATGTATATAGACATGTGATATATATATATATATATATATATATGGTCTCACATGTACATGCCTATGTACCTGCATGCATACACATGCATACACCGAGCCGTCAGGCAGAGAGAGGGAGGGAGCGTAGAGCATATGTGATGCAGTGGCAGCCGGCCTCGACCGACCAGGGCATCGGAAAGGCGTCAACCGTTCCCGGCAGGTTCTGGTGGGCCTTCGTCTTCTTTCTTTTGCAGGCAGGGTTTCCATCACACACGTGTGAGCCCCTACGTAGGGTCTGGGGTTCAGGGCTTATACCCAAGCTTATGGCACCCAAATCGAAACCCTAAATGCTCGGAGTACTGTTCCTGTTCTTCTTTGTTGGGCCTCGGGCCTTGCCCATTAAGTGGCTTGGCGATCAAGACACTCTTCTCCTTTGTTCGAGTGTGATATTCGAATGCTCCAGAACAAAAATTAGAAGGACCTTCAGCGGCAAACCTCTTAAACAAAAACCACAACCCTGAACCCCAACTGTGCTGGGCGGGCTGTTTCGAAGCAAACCTGGCCTTGGTAGTCTTCTGTTTACCTGCCGCTGGTCCTGTTCTTAGCTCGTGCTTAGTGTCTGCTGCCGTTGAGCCCGCACTCTCCAACGGATTCCGATCGTCACTCTGAGCTTGCTCCCCTTGTTGGGAAAGTTGGGTGTGGACCATGACTGCAGCGGTGCCGGTTCATGGTCACGATGATGTTTCTGAGCATGGTCGTGATGATGGCGGTGGTGACGGCGAGGATCATGATAGGATCTAGCCTGGCTGGCGCGAAGGTGTCAATGATATACAAGATCCTGATGACATTTGTCGCGACACAGTTATGATATGTAGCCCATGCATGCTTGGCGGTATTAGCTAAATGGTACTCTTTTTCAGCTTCCTTCTCGCTGTAGCCAGCTGATTCTATAGCTGTTTAATCAGTTGCCAATACTCTCCCTTAGGGTTATACTAACCATGACTTTCACCACGAAGGCCTCTTCTTCTTGTCAAGGCCGCACGTGTTGCACTGCTAAATTTGCTGCTAAGTGCCGGATCCAGGCCGCTGAGAGCTTGGGGGATGGCTCTGTAGACGAAGGAGGAGCAGGTGCACTTGGGGTTTTGGGGGGTTTGGCTTTACTTTGCTCGTTAGGGTTTAACTATAAGGTTAGTTTAACCTTTAGTGTTAGTTCACAAGGTTAGGTTGAGGTTTATAAGCTTTTGTTATTGATGGTTCATGGCCTTTGAACTTGTAACACATGATGCAAGACCTCAGTTGCAGTTCGACATGTGCGGACAGAAGCAAATCGACATGAACTGTGCCACAATGCGCAACGGCACTCTTGGAAGCTTTTTTCAACCAATCGGAGCTTCCAATATCGTCCCGAGATGCATAATAAGATGGAGCAGTCAAAGTTCGAGAACAAGCAGCAGAAGAAAGTCATGTAGCTTGTAGGAGCTCCCTCTTTCAACTTTCGAACGAAATCGAGACATTTCTCAGTTGCCATAGGCACTGACCTCTGCAACGTAGAAGAGGCAGGCATCGCAAAGCCTTCAAACCCTAAACCCTGGCTCCTTAACCCTGCAATGCCTGCTCGTCCCAGCTCGGTGGGAGGCAAAAATACCCCTTACTTAACTCGAATAGCATGTCCCATTTGCGAGACACTAAGCCCAAGAGTGCCCGCAAACCTAAACTCGTAATCCTCCCTGATAGTATACTACAGTATAGTATAGTTTGCTATTGTCGAGTAGAGTACAGTATAGCATAAGTTGTAGTAACTAAACCCCAAACCAAGATCCTAAGTGAGTACCGGACAGGACAGCCCGAAGACCGAAATCTTCGTGGAGACCCCGTGCGGGACCAGGGTGGTTATTCTATTACTCTGGTATACCCCAAACCCGATTCCATTCAGGCCCCTATGTTACAGAGAGCAGGACCCGAGAACAAGTTGAACTTGGCAAAGCTCTCGTTGCTCCGCTCGTATAGCCAGGTTTGACACGGTTCGCAAAACCTGCTTCATACCATCATGCAACCACATGAAGATCCCTTATATAGACTGTTGATAGAGATTTCCCGGAGGTGGAGACTTCTTCTGTCGAGCATTGTAGCAGAAGTGGAAGCCAAGCAACGGGTGCTTTGGGTTCAGGGTGAGCAATCCGGGTACCGCAAGTCGAGGTCCGATCCCTAGGGCAGTTTCGTGCGGATGTATGCCGCGCTGTGATGCTGCTTGCTTTGCCGTGAAAGCGCCCATCGTTCCCTTCGCTTGCAGGACGTGCTCTCGACCGTGGTCGGCGTGCTCCGCCATGTCTCTCAGGCTCGGGAAGGTTCGGCCGCAGATGTGATCACTAGCCTCTTTGATCTTCGGCAGGAGCATCACGAGAAGCCACCTCAGCGCGACGTCGGCATTGCGTGTCACTGGGTTGGTTTTGGAGACTCTTGCACTTTCTGGCGGTCCAAGTCAACTTGGCGATGTCTGTAGCCGTCCAGGATTCCAAGATACACAACAGCCTGTGGCACCTCCAAGCATCTCCAAGCCAAACAGGGTCTAATTGTAGGGGGGGTGGTTTTCGGCTGCAGGTAGCTTCCGTGCCGTGAGGTATGCTGCTTGGTTCCGTGGGCTTTGTCATGCTCTTGTTCTACATCGTGCCCCTTGGCTGTCGTTGCGAACCCCAGCGATGGGCTTCACAAAGGCCATGTCGGTAGACGTCGAACACAGGCCGAAGCACGTGGAACAAATCTTTAGGATCTGGGATACGATGTACAGTAGATTGGAGATCTATGCAATATTCGGGACTTTACCTTGTCATGATTTCATGGTGACCTTGAATTTCAACCCTAAACCCGGACATTCGGACTTCACCTGAGAGCGTAAACCCTGACTGTTGAGGAACTGGAAGGACGATGACATCCGCCTCTATGCCTGGACCATCATCAGCACCACCACATGCCTCTTCACGGCCGTTCTCTCCTTCTCCGGGATTAAGGCTCGGAGAGTGGGAAGGGGGGACTCGGGATTCTAGTCCCAAGAAATTTCCCTAGTTGCTTTTGCTGGACTTTAGGACACTGGCGGTACACTCCCGAGCTGCCTTCTGCAGTCCTCTAGTTTGAGAATGACAAATTCCGCATCTCCGAGAAATCCTTGCAATTGCCCACGATCGGCGAGCGGCTCTTACAGTGGCACATTGTGCTTCTACAAGCCTTTTCCGTTTCTAGCCAGAGTTGACACACATGCGATGTTCCCAGTTCGACGTCACCATGTCACTGAAACCCTGCACACTG